ACCGGCCAGAGGATCTGGTCCTCCCGCTACTTTCCCTCATTTCACCAAGGCTATGTTGAGGTACGTATGTCGGCGCGTCATGCGTTTGCAGGGTTGGCTTATCCCATGGTCACTACGTTTGGGAATAGCCCAAGACGGCGTGAGCATATAGGCGGTAGCAGCGTCGCTCGACGTCCCCGGAGGCCCAAGGTGTGCGAGCGCCGCGAAATACCTTCGCGCGATGTGATCGATCCCGCTCCGCAGCCGTGGGCCCTATGTCTGTGGCAGCGCCGCGACGACATGGCATCCCTGTTCCCTGGTCGACCTTCGCCATCGGGTCGCGCAGCAAGATACCAGACATTCCGCGGCTGGTTGTTTGACAATGACGTGGCCATTAGCCTCCGCCTCCACGCGGAACGCCCGGAGCATCCGTCGCCGGGACGCAATCGCCAACACCAAGGACCCTCCCGACAAAGTGAACGATTCGCACTCGACGTTCCCCTCTGCATCGTATGCTACAGATATCTCTTTGTTGTGCACTACCTACTGTGGTTCGATCAGCGTGTCATATGGTACTAGACCACTGACTATGTGCGCGTCCAGAATATATTTATCCGCTGTGCGATTTGAAACAGTACTGAAGTACATCTGCTGCGTGTCTAGCCATGAGGACGGTGTCTCAGCAATCCAAGTGAGAATTTACGATACGACGAGAGGACATGTGTGGGAGTCCGAGTTGAAGCAGCAATATCATGAAATAGACGACACATGGCCCGCGCGCCTATGTCTCAAATCCCCTTGACGCCTCGCGCCTCCTCTTCGTATGCACGGCCACGCGCTGTGACCTCCTACGCACGAACGCATGAGCATCCGGCTGCATCGCAATGAACTAGTGCGTACCGTCATCCACCGCTGGGGTTGTGCTTGCCACTCTGGCTCTGGGGCCGATCGCCGGTCGCCCTGTGTCTGTGTGCGAATGAGATAGATCATGGCCTGATGCAGCAGAAGGTACCCACCTGAGAAGACCGCTTCCACGCCGTGTGCGCCGCCATTGCTTCAGAAGGTGCACGACCCTCGGAAGCAGGAACCTCGGCGATTTCCACATTGCCATTCTCGTCCATCCTGCTATCATAACGTCTCCAATCCTCTATGTCATGATCCCAAATCAACCCAAGCCTGACACGGTGCCTGGCAGGTTGTCAGTAGTCGCCGTAATATCAACCATTGCGTGCTCTGTAACATACCGCGAGTCTTCGTCACGTAGTTCAATCCTATGGGAGATTACATCAGTAATATAAACAACTATTATTGTCAATAGCGAATGGGTGAGCCGATACATACCCTAGGACCCTCCGTTCATCGAGACTAGACATGGATGACTTCATCGAGTGCGCCCACTTTTCCATCTCTGCCTGAGGCTGAAACTGAGGAAATCTCGCCCATATCAGTACGTGCAAGAGGTTGTCGAAGACAGGAAGTAAAAGCACGGTGTCCAATTGCGAAAGGCCCTCGCCCAACTCTCCCCGGTCACGCCGTTCCAACGATCTGAAATGGATGTTGACGGAAGCGACGCATCTTGATGTGACGTGGGACAGGATCTCGCGCACGCCAAGGCAGGATGCATCGCAACCATAAATTCGAAGGGATGTGGGGTTTGTGTTCGCAAAGAGATCACATCGACGGTCTATAAGGAGTATAAGCAACGCGTGGCATCACCGAGAGACAACAATAGCAGACTCACATCGGTCTGCAGCAGCGTCAATTGGGATAACACTGTCGTATCTATCGCCTTGGAGAAAAACACCAAGATCGTCGAGTGACGGTCCGGCATGGTGAACCAATTCATTGATGGCAGTGGCCACCAACCTATGAGCGTCTCGTAGGAAGGGATATACCGTAGCGTAGATTCGCATAACTGTGAGGGGAAAGTCCATGTCGATCAAGCAACGTATAATACGGGCCACATGCTGAGACTGGGCAGTCGCACAATGCACGCCAATTGCGATTGGTTCCAGCCTTGGATGCGCAGGGAGACCTGTGATCTCAAGGTCTGCAACGGTACTATCTGCAGTTGCAAACTTGAGGTTCTCAAGCGATGGAAGGGCATGCAGGAGCCGGGCAATCGAGGAGGAGGAGAACTTCCACCAGACATTTTCGTCGAGTCGCAAGTTGCAGACGGAGCCCCATGGATAGACACGAGGGGACTTGCCACAGGGGTTGCTTACGGCGACTATGAAAGCGAGAAGCTCTGTATAGCACGGCCATGCAGAAGGAATGAACTTGTGCGAGCCGTAGTCAGAGACATGTCCCAGGGTGATATGCTGCAGGTTCTTGGTTGGTGGCAGAAGACGAAACTCGGCAAGCGTGCGAGGGTCGAATAGACCTGAGGATCCGGTGAGCGTGACATCGCGGAGATGGAGCCGTTCGAGGCGCGGGAGAGCCGAGACGAGGGCGCCAAACGTGACGATGGATGGAAATGTGACGTATTCCAAGACGAGGCGGGTGATCGAGGCAAGGCGCGACAAATCCCGGAAGACGGCGGCATTGGCGGCCCGGAGCGACGACGGCCACGACGCGTTCTCGATGGTCAGGACCCAAATCTGAGTCCACCTGCCTGCGAATCTGGAGGCGAACGTGGCCACGTGTGGAATCGCTTTGGAGTCCCTTTCTCCCACGATGGTTGCGAATTGCGGTCCTCGCCAGCCCCCGATCTCCATCTCTGCAGTGTCTGTCTTGAGGTGCTCCACGCCTTCTTCGCTACTGAACGTCAAGTCGTCCTGTAAATGCTTCTTACACATGTGCTCGAAGAATCGGCAGACCCTGGCGCATCTTGCTATTGCATCGTAGTTCTGTTCCTCTGCAACATCGTCCAGGATGTGCATCCAGAGTTCCACAGGCAAGGAAGATCCTTCACTGATCTGCATGTTGTCTAGGTGGCAAATACGATACTAGAGCCTGTGGGGTCGCGCTCACCAAGATGCCGGGCATGTCCTTGTCTTCTCTCCTCAGAGACACCTCTCTCGCTAGATATTTTTTGCTGTCTTCCATTGAAAGTTGCTCATACTTCAATTAGATGAGCCCATCATCCTCTGCGCTGCCTAAGAGGACTTACGAGTGGGATGCTCTGTTGCGACCGTCACGCAGGATGGAAATCTTCGCGGAGGTGGACTTTCAACGGGCTCCACATCATTTATAGTGACACGCTTACCCATCCAAATAGAACATCACGAAACATGCATTCAGCATAGATCCGTCCGTGCCTCTCTAGATATGAATGTAGCTGTTGTGCGTTGCGCAGCCTCCAAACATCACCAATACTTGCATTGTAGAGATCGGACGCCCGTCTCATCTCTCACGTCTCCGAGTCACATATGCATGTATGGCACCTATGACTGCCTTTTTCTTTTTTTGGCGAAAGCATTTTTTCTGTATCGGCGCCCCGCTGACTTAATATTCTCCCCCGCAACTGCCCCTGCAACCGGTTACAGTCAATTTGGTAGGACACTGGCGAGATGGGTAGGTCCGGGATCTGCTGCGTGCTGTCCAACCGCAAGCGAACTGCGCATGCTGTCACAATACGAGCAGGTGTACTGGACTTTGGCTTTGGCTAAAGTTCCGCGAGGACACTGTGGGCCTATACACGTATAGTCCTCCGGAAATGGACTGCGCGTTAGATGCTTCCCGAATCGCATGTTATCTTGACGCCGAAGAGAGTTCACAATTCTATCACGGCATGGGCGTTCATACTGCCTGTATGTAAGCATATCCCCAGTCTGACCACCGCGCCACATACTCATCGCCCTGGTTTAGGCTTTCGCTATCGACGCAGAAGCTGTCGTAATTGCATTCCGATTACAGCAATGCCAGTACTCCGAAGGCATACTCTTACACAGCTTCAACCCGTAACCTACATCGCAGGACGTCGACCAACCGGAAGATTCTCTAGTAAGCTCCTATTTCTCATGAGTTTGCCGCGCCTCATGTGTGCACCGCGTGCGGGAGCGCGTTCCCTCATTCTTCGTTCAACCCTTGATTCTGAACGAACCCATACTCGTATCGAACGAGAACATGGCGTTCATCTCTCAGCGGCTCTCATCTTCAGCGATCGTGTAATTTCACTCGAGGCGTAGCAGGACGCACTGTCCGCCGGCTAGGACGTCTTGCAAAATGTGTCATGGATTTGAACATGTGAGGTGCTCAGAGAGAGGTCCATAGCTAGCGAGAGCGCAGCGGCGTGATTCAGCTAACGTCACGGTCGAGACACCTTCATTCATAGGCCGCCGCACGGGCTGAGCAACGGGTACATGCATCGCAGGAGATAGAACTGCGCTGATTGGATTCTACACAGGCATTTTCAGACCTCAAGCGGGAATCCTGTGCAAGTGACTCTTTGAGCACGGCGGAACGCCCTCGCTCGACCTACTCGGACCCGATTTGTGCTGTGACCCGCGGATTGCCTACAGGCCAACGGCGCTTCATTCCACGATGAATCTCCTCCCAGCTAACGTAGATGTCTTCCAAATGTCTCGCTCCACGCCCACTAACATCGGGCATTTACCTTGTAAGTTCACCACATAACGCCAACTTTAAGAGCGGCTCGCGCCGTGATATGAATATGACAGATTCAGACACGCGCTTCTGTACCGCCGAGGCCAAGTACGTTCCCCATCAGGCGCCAAAACGAGCCTGTCTCCATATGCCCTGCGAGTCCGGAACATGCTTGCGGAGGTCGTGGTCGGAACCCTGGTACGACGAGCGAATCGATGCCTGAGCACCGCACAGCCATACTCTTGCGGAGCCTTTCTCCATTCGCGGTGTTTATTTGCAGCGACATTGACTGGTATGTGTCCTACTAGGCCTTGGCGGCCGGAAAATGAAGGGCATATTCACGATCCTCGCCGGCCTGGCCACAACGATTTCCCTGCACATCGCCTCCCATTCTGACTCGCTTTACTGTACCAACATTAGTTACATACTTATTCCCTCATAGTTCCTCCCCACCCCGCGCTCACGCTCTCTCCCTTTACTTGCCCTCACCCGGCTCTCTTGCTCAGTCAGAAGTACCACGACAAGTCCGCATACCCGCTGACATCGAGCCCCGGCAGACACACCGCTCGCGCACCACACTCCATGCACCCGGATAGCATAAGATAAGCCACGATCCCTAATACGATACGAACTCGCATGTATTATCTGACATAGGGCGTCGCCCTACAGCGGATATAAAACAGGATTTAAAATAATAAAATAATAATAAAAGTATACAATTCAATAGTCATCGTTCAAAATCTTGATCTTGCTTGACTCTATGTTATCATCAGTGACAACACGCGAGACAAGCGGCTTGGGGCCGCCATGTTCGCGGTGGAGCATGTTGTCGGTCACTTTTGAGACCGTCGTCAATATCTCGATCTGTGGCTACACAACACTATCAGTGTAGCCTGAATATGTACAGTACTGGCGGTCACTTACTGCTTGAGTCCCTTGCGCCTGAGCGCTCGTCACTCTAGGAGAGAGCTCCATAGACACGATATCATTCATTCTATACCTCCGGCGACTTCTCCAATGTTGACGAGCATTTAATCTATCAATATCTCAGTCTATCATCGACACCTCGTAGCAAAGCACAAACGTTGCAAGGAACGTGATCGTATACACTGTAATATACGCGAATTGTGAGTGTATTGAAAAAGGATTTAATAGAGTATTGTCTCACGATTGCATTGCACTTCGATGAGACCAGCAAAGATGAGACTTCCCTTGTGTAACTCAAACTGCTCCTCAGGACGTAAGTGATACGGATATCAACATCTAAACCCTTACGACGCACGGTAATGACAATTGCCAGCGAAACGAACCTACGACAAGGCAATAAGCGCAGTTCGACTGTTCAGCAGCAGTGATGACCTCCTACATGGTCAGAGCTCCGGTGTTAACCACGTACATCTGGACCCGCTTGATCAAATGGTCTGTACTAGGGATCACGTTCAACACCATGGAATGGCGAGATGAGCACGTATGATTATCCTTACCGATTGGACCCAGTACGGCTTTGCTGCAGATTGAAGATCAAAATCGAGGCAATGATCAGGTCCACCATCGCTGCCAGGCTAACACTGCAGGTTGCCAAGTCCTGGCACGGGTATGTATGTTAGCGCTGGAACTCTCACGAAATGTGGCAGGGAAGATATCGATGGGTTGATGTCACTTACATGCGACACATTTGTGTCTCGGTACAGTTGCCAGCTGCCCAGCTTGAACCTGGATCATGCAGTCAGTATGCAACTTTTTCACAGGCAACTAAATGCCTTACATGTAGCTTGCAGCAACTGGAGTACGATTACGATCATTAGGTGTCAGAAGAGGATCGATGTTACAGTACCTACCAAGACCTATAGCTGATTGATTGCAGCAAGTCAATGGACACTGAAAGGATAATCGGTGTGTCTTTGACAACTTACACACTCGAGATAAGAGAATGATGGCCTGCATAATTGGTCACATTCAATATCAAGGCTTTGATAATTGACCTCGCAACATTACCGGAATAAATGTCATAATGGTGTTGTGTTTGCTCACTACGACAGAGTTGTTAGACGAAGGAACAACACCCCAGGTACACGATCCCCGCACATATCCAGATGCGTTGGATTAAGAACCTGTAGAGGCGTGATCATGATGTATCACGCAAGAACTCGATTGTCGATAGGACCTACCCTTGAACAATTGCTGCGATGAGAATCTGCATGGATTTCAGCTCATGTATTGTTTGGGACGCATCGAGAAAATTTGAACACACCGCTAGGGCCACTGATGTCTAATGCACGGCGTTGAGCGACTGAGCACAAGCATTCATACTCGCAGAACTTACTGCATAGCTCCTGTTCCGTTATGCATGAAGCTATCCACAAGTACCGGAGAGTGCCACGTACCATACGAGAGTTTGTAGCTGTTCTATGTCGTTGAAATTGATGATGAGGTATTCGTACATCGCGGCAAAGCTAAAACCGGTATGTAGAGTCTCCATGATCCTGTGGAGCAAAGTCGCTGAATGAATTTACAGGTGGTAATTAGAGCAAACACAACTTACATCAGGATAACAACCGTCCACCGCGATCGCCTCGAATCGTCTGAGTAGTCCCACCAATACACATATGCTTGTGTGATCGCAATACCGTACAACCTGCCCAACATTGATCTCGAACGAGTTGCACAGAAGGAACGCAACGAATTGCTTCGTACATGATTGCCAGGAGGACCTCGATGAAGTACCCTCCCGCGAAATTCTCAATATCGGTGGCCATTGTCAGTTACAAGAGATGCCAAACGAGCGGGTGACCAGCACAGACGACAGCACTAGAATGGAATCATGTTTCTATTGCTATTAGTATATGCAGATACTGATGTATGATGATATCAAATGATAGATAGCTATTACCAAAGGCGACAGCCCACGCAGGAGGCGAAATGCTGACAGCTGCCTGAGACACAGTTTGACAGTCGCTGCATGTAATGATCAATCTTTCGGTACAAAAGATTGAATCAAGAACGAAAGAAGAGTGAATTTGCCTGATTAGTATTCTGTTGCCTAATATGGAAGAAAGATTGAATGAAGAGCGAGATAAACTGATTATATGAATCAATGTTTTCATTGTTTCATTCAACTTTCCCCTTGATAAGACCAATATGGGCTATTCAATCTTTCGGACAGTCACGGGCAGACGCTCACTCTGAAATTGTGAATGCGATGTAACAGCATCTCTCGTAGGCATCGCTACATTCCTGATATGTCACTTTTGAACACCATGACTGCCAAGTGAGCAGTCCGAGTCGAACAATCCTGCGAAAGCAGCCTGCCACTTACAAGGAGAGGGTCCCGGGAATAGGCAGTTCGAGATGTGTGGCTGTGCTTGCTTACTTCTATGTACGATGTAGTCCCCTCCGAGTCAGTATCGTGCTCTTGTGTGTCGCTTTTGCATAAATAAGTGAAGTCTTGTCCTACCCGCGGCCGATAGGCTCTCAACGCAGGTATACATTGAGTCCATTGTTGGAGCGGCATGTTGAGACCATCTATGACGCGGGAATGCCATCTGATGCATCAGTGTCATTCAGTAACGAGCGAAGATGGGCGCACACAGGATGACACAGTAAATAGAGCGCAATATCAAGGGTTCAAGAAGCGATTCCACGCTGTACAACCCGTGTTCATACCATCACATCCCAGTTAAGCCTAACAAGAATGTCACTCAGCTTGAGCTCTCCTCTAAGATCCAAGCACAGGGTGGCGGTAACGAGAAGATCCGCGACGAGGCTGCACGCCCACTCAATCGCTGTCGTCTGCAGTCATTTGGACTCAGCCGTATGTCCAAATGCCACAACACTGCAGGCGTTGGTATATATACCAGGGCCTTGTTGAACAATGTCAGTGCAAACTTCCACTCTGATTCTAGCCTCGCCTCCCATACGCATCGTGTCTTGCATATTAGTCATCACGCAGCCTTTATCTTGACGATAGTCCTTGTAAGCAACAAGCGAGCTTCTCTGATGGCAAGCAAAGAGGAATTCCTGACAGAGGACAAAGGAGAGGTTTGTTCGATGATAAAATACGTTGAAATTTGTGAAAAGACGACCTATGTGGTTGTAAGCACGACATCCACTCGCACTAGTGTCAAACTAAGATAGCACAGCGGGGGTCTGGCTGCAAGTCTTTGACAATCTGGCGAATGAAAGCTCCTATGACACGATAGCAAGATGCGGCACGGTCTGCGAGCTCTTCCGAAACCGGAGTCAGCAATACGAGAGGAAAGTATGATGTTCGAGAACAAAGAAGAGGTCGAGCGCATCGAGGCAGACACTGCAACGAAGAAATCGCAGGGCTAACCAGGGCCGATGCCCCTCACCATCAAGAGAGAGGACCCCAAAGCGATTCCAGACATGGCCACGCTCGCGTCCAGATTCGCAGGCAGATAGGTCCGCATCGGGGAGCTGATAATTGAAAAGACATCATGGCACAGCGCAATGCGTTCGTCACAACAGGGAATCCACAACGAGGAGGGCGGCGCTCACCGAGTCGCTCGCACATGATCTTTGATAGCGGTTACCCAAATGTTGAACCCCATTTTATAATACCTTACTGGCGCGATCCCGTTTCGTGCGTCCTGCCAAGTCGGGCGCATGTGTCTACAGCACGTATCTTTCGCTTGAACTGGATTGTGTTCATTGCGACATCCGCTGAGCGCTTCCCGTTCAGGAATATCCACTCCTTGATGATAGGGCTGCTGACAGCAGGGTCTGGCGGTCGTTCTTGGTCCTGACGAACATGGGTGTTTGCATTTTGTCAGTTGCACATGTATGTTTGCTTAATGCCGGATGCCTCCACGCTCAGCACGCTCTTCCCTTACCGCAGAGCCACGGTCATCTGTTCGCGGCCCGTGGCTCTAAGGCAGCGCCTCGCTGCACGTTGTAACTTGTGTCATAGATTGACTTGTGTGGCGTCACTATGGGCCCACAAACAAGATGTGATACTGGGGTTGCGTTCATGAGAGTTCCAGTTGGGTCGCCAAATCTTGGTGAGGATTATAGGCGATAGACATAGTCAGGGTAAAGTCGAACGTGTGTCGAGGCTCAGCGCTTATCGCCACGGCCACGGTGAGAATGCGTGGGGACGTCGCGTTGTTGCAGTTGTTGGAGACTCCAATGTAAGCTCCGGGCACTGTATCCCGCTCGTGGGTTGGTGTGCAATGAGGTACTCATTCATGCTGGCTTAGTACATCAGCGGGTGATTGCGGCGGTCCTCGTTGGGTTACTACCCATTGCAGAGAACGTGTCAACGATAAGATCAGCGAGTCCTCAAGCGGATATAAAACTGGATATTAAAATAAAAAATAAAAAATAAAAAAAGATCAGCGAGTAAGCAGAGACGCTAGCCCGAATTCACGCCCAGGGTCCTTCCCGCCGCTATGAGAGATGATAGGCACTGCCATTGGACGACGACGGGAACGAGCGTTTCACGCCGCGCTCCGCACGCGTCCACGTCACGTGCGGGAAACAACACGGTCTGCTGATCCCATTGTTCATTGCTTTGACGCTTGTTGCCCCTCATGTTGTTGTGTTGCCCCTAGAACACTGCTGAGAGGTATTTGGCTTTTGCTTGGGATTTGGCTTCCGCATGGAGAACATCTCACCCATCTCGACCGACGGTGAATCGCGCGACCATATAGCTCCTCTTGATAATCTCCTCCGCCCGACACAACACAACGCGCGAGCCTCGAGGCTCAAGCACGGGCCTTCTAGATCCATTGTCTCTCCCATCTCTCGCAATGTAGATATCGGTCGGCTATATTTGCCACCAATGTCTGGTACTATGACTCCTCCCTCTCAAGTTCTTGACGACTTCGATGCCTCCAGGATGCTTATAAGCCCTCCACCTGAGGAAACCCTTCGAGTCAGTGGCCAGTATCTGCGATCATGCAAGCCAAGTATATTGACTGCCCGCACAGTCCACTCGCGCCAGATCTACCCCTTTATCTAGCAAGCAGCCTCCTTTTGGCTCTTCATTTCTTGCCAATCCGCCAACCTCCACGGCTCCCCCGGCTTCCAAGCGCAAACGCCAGATATCTCCGACGTCCGCCCACAAGACTCATGATGCTGCAGGAATCAGGGAGATTGAAGACAGCGAGGCGGTCCATGTGAACACTACACCCAACCCCAAAGCTCGTAAGCAGTCGCGACATAATGTTTCCTTCATAGTGCCCCAATTAGCGTCCCTCACGCTCGATCCGTCCTCGAGCCACTCTCCTCGCCGGTCTTCGCCAAAGAAGCAGGTGTCCGTTCAGTCCCCTCATGCTTCCAATCCCAACGCAGACTTCGTAGCGCTCTCTCCTGGAAGGCAGCATGAATCTGGCTCTGTCGCCCGCAGGCGTTCTGTGACTCCCCTGCCGCCATATGAACCTCCACGGGAACGATTCACGCCTCCACGCGAAGTGTTTCGCTCGCTGCCACCTCGATCGCCCGCTCCCCGATCGAGCAAACGGAAGCCTAAGCACAAGCTCACGCTGCTGATCAAGAAGGAGCCGCCCGACATTGACTTGAGCCAGCCGCCTCCACCAGCCTCGCCGACAGATGATCCCCTTCTGCTATCTGGTCCTCCTCGACACATCAAGCCGCACCGCAACACTGCTACCCAGGGCTCTCGCGAGACACCGCCTTTGGCATCGACGTCCCCTATCCGTGATGAGGACATGCAACACGCGTTCGCGTTTGATGCGCCATCTGGCGGAGCCGATACGACCATGAGCGACGACTTCTCCATTGTCCCCGCCTTTAATTTTGATGGTGCAGTGGACGATGGTTTCTCGTCGAGTGAAGACGAGCACGAGGACTTCGATCAAACAGGCGAGTACACTGGCAAATTCAGGATGCTCGCGGTGCCCACGAAGGAGGACCCGCCAAACAGTCATACGCGTGAGCGTATGGAGGCGTGGGGCCGCCCGATCAGCCCGTTCCCGCGGATTATCGATCTCGTCAACGACCCGCCCTCGCCCAGTGAGCGCAAGAGTGCTAGCCAACCTCCCGTGCAGGATGACCCCATAGCAGCATCAGCAGTTGTCGATATCGCGGAGAATCCCTTCATTGAGGTGCACTCTCCGCCTCGCGAGGCTCAATTGTCTGGAAACACCACCTTGGACACTTCATTCGACAGTGCTCCTGACACAGAATCCGAAGACAGGAGCCATGCGGAGCAAGAACAGGTATCGTCAAGAGAGCTGAGCACATCAACGGTACTAGGGAGCGCGGAGCCGGACGGCGGACCTCAGGGAGAATCCCCCCTGTCTGAAGCGGCCACTGCAGTCATGGGGGATGTCTCCCCAAAGCACAAGCATGATGTGCTGCCCGCTCCGCAGTGGTCACCGCTGTCAGATAAAACTCAGAGCGAGGATGGGGATGAGGACGACGACGATGATGATGACGAGGCCTTTGTCGATCGGGAACTTTCTCGTGAGCCCGAGGCCGAAGACGACGAGCAAGTGTCGCCGGATACCACGAGGACTGATATAGTGGGCGAGACGGAGGTTGCCTTGCAAGATGACTACGACGTTGAGTCATCTGACGACGACCTCGAAGAGCTGGACTCGGGTGTCATCCAGGTGACGAGTGATGATCCACTCGCTGCAGCGCGGGCTGCTGCCATCCTGAAGATGGTAAGAGTAGCCTTTACCTTGTTGACCTCCACGCATGGATTCTCATATTCTCCACAGCACAACTACGACTGCATCCCGCGGAGCAAGGCGAGCTCGCGCCGGCAGTCGCAGATAAGCATCGAGTCATTGAGCTCTCGGCGGCACTCGCAGCTGGGCATCGATGCGATGCTGCGTTCGGCACGCAGGCGGTCAGCGCTAGAGTCGGGGATCTCGAAGAATTCTCCTCGCAAAGAGCGGCGGCGCACATTTGGGGGCTTCGTAGGCGACGAAGTCGTCATCCCTGGGAGCCCCAACATCTCGCTGCCTGAGCTGCTCAAGGAGCCCGCGCCGCCTGCGGAGCACATCAAGGTGGCCGCATTCAGTCGTCTTGCAGCACAGCCGCAGTCATTTGCGACACCCACGAAGACTCAGCTTGCTTTGGCGGCATCTTCCCGCGCTGCTCCTGAGGTGAATGACAAAGGCGCCTTGCCTAGTACATGGTGCAAGGCGGACTGGAAGCTCCTCGATTCATGCTTCACCGATGAAAGGCTCTCACTCGGCGAAACCCGAGGATTGTCGGGGAATAGTCTGGCGCCGGTGGACGACGTTGATGTGGAATGTGTAGCAGATAGATTCATGCAGCTGCTCGATGGTGCTCGCAAATTTGACAGGTTTGTCTCTGCCGTGTCCCTGTATGCTTCTTACTGATGACAAGCTGTAGAGAGCACATCTTGCAACGTGCTCATGCTTTGCGCAAGAAACAACAGTCTGGCAAAGTTGCTCCCCCGACACCTCGACGCGAGGGATCTGCCCCTGTGTCTGTAGCGAGCACTTCTTTGTCCTCAGATTACCCAGCCACTCCTGTTACATGGAGTCCCACGGATAGCAACACCTCTCAAAGGGAACCTCAATATTCACGGCTACTGGAGGAAGTCCTTGCAGAGTCGACTGACAAGCCCGCGCCATACCGCGTAACCCAGATAGCCGGCGGGGGGCGTACACACGCAAAGCTCTCGCGGCCTTCACTCGCAGGACGAGTGAAGGGCTTCCTATTCTCATACTTACCTTACGCCACGAAGACCCAGGCGCCACCGCCCAAGAAGCCCGTGCAGGAACATCCTGCCTTGCCCGCACCGCCTCCTGACCTCCTCGACAAACCACGCGCACCTATCTCAACGCCAGCGCCCAAGCCTGCCCTGAAACCACCCCATCCCAAGGAGCTCGTCACACTGCATCATGTATCTGCCCAGAAGCCGTCAGGGATACCTCGCCCGTCGAAGCAGCCTCAGCCATCTGTGAAGCTGCGTCCCGTCCCGCCACCGGTCGAGAAGCGCAGCGAGCCTATTGCGATCCCCCGTGTTCGGCGCGACAGCGGCACGAGCGTGAAGGACTTGATACAGAGCTTTGAATATATGCAGGAACAGACTGAGCTGAATACCTCGACGTCCAGCGTTCGTGGAACGGCGGCTGGGAAACGACCCGGAGTCGTGGACTCAGTGGCCTCGAAGCAGAAACCTGTCTGGAGACCGTAACATCTTGCGTGCCTCCCCCACCTGCGTCTCTCTATGTATATCACTCATTCGGATTTACACCCAGTTATAATGTATGTATGGCGTCACGTATACCTGCTTCTTGGATTTGCCTTATGTTAGCGGATTTTGGCCTTTATCAATTTATTGCAGTATAGGCAGTCTCCCAATGTTCCTTTTAGTGATACATTCCACAAAGTACAATAGTCAATGCGTCTGATCACAACCATGCACAGAAGGTCATGTCGAACCTTACGCAGTCCACCGTACAGTGACTGACATGGCCGGCCGTAAATAGCCTATAATGGACCCCACTCGACTGTACTTTGCCGTCCTAGTAGAATAAGTACATCTGCCTGCAAAAAGTCAGATCTTCCTCCATACTTATGGTGGCCATCACGAACCTCCTAACGCGATCAGATCCGTCTTGTGTAGACACCTGAGTGGTCTTACTCTTCAACGTCGAGCTTTACTGCGAGGCCTCGTTCCCGTATGTGTGGCTGATGTGGCTGAATGCGGTCTTCGAGCGTTGGTGTTGCGGTGGACGTCCCGGTAGAAGCGACCGCCTTTACTTCCAAACCGCCCTCTTCGGCCACTGGTGTGTCACCATCCGTCTTCTTGGCTGGTTGCACAGGAGGCTTTGTGCGCACGATCAGAGGGCGGCCGGACCGTCGTGCATCCCAAATCATATATAGTATCGCTTCGGAAATTGCGACCACTGTTGCGACTAGCAGTGCGAAGAGCACTTTCTGTGAACGTGTAGACACGCATCCATTAGAGCAAGAGCAGCAACCAAATTCAACGGCATACCCATTCGTCCTTCCATGCAAGCCTCCCCGCAGCCCACCATGTGGCAGCGCCGGACCCACCTATGCTCAGGAGTGCATTCACGATGGCGACCACAGCTCGCCGATCGCTCACCTCTCTTTGTGCATCTTCCAGTGGGGAGCGCACCGGAATGTGAGGAAATTTCTTGTCGGGCGAGGTGCGCGTGCCTGCAAGAAGGGCTATCATGCTGTAGTCGCTTGGCTTCAACGATGTACTGTGTTCTTGGAGAGCCCGCGTCCCTTCTGCCGAGCGAGACCACGAAGAGATGGCTGAGAGCAGAGCATATGGGATTGTGCTCGCCGGCAAGGAATCGTCCGAGAGGAAGGGAGATAGCCTAGATGAGATTGATGCAGGAAGAAGATGTGGTAGTGGTTTCAGTACGTCAACGAGGTGCGGCTCAAGAGAGACGGTGAGCTCAGACTCGCTGCTCATCGCGGTCGACGTGATCGAGAACGCGCTGCAAATGGGCGCCCACGCGCTACGCGCTCTTACGCTGAGACTTTTTATATACGTCGATGGCTGGATCACAGGATGAAGGTGGATGTCTCACCGTGAAGGGGCGGCTTTGTGAGTGCTGAGTATATATATAAACAGACTCAAGAATTGCAGAGGGCATATATGACCCTTCTGTACGCACTCTGTACGGGGCCTTAAGGGTCTTCGACCCGGACGTCGTTCAGTCGATCTTGGATCTCGTTGCAAACCTCGACGGCCTCTCGCTGAGGCTTGCAAGGGAAAAGGAGTATAGGTGAGTTGTCAATCACGAGTAGTCCTGCAACGCCGATACTGAGTGGCTGAGGAAGGCATGATATAGGCAATGTCAATCCTTCTCTGTGGGGAATCGTTCGACGACTCTGGGCTGCTATCACTCTTGCGCACGAAGAGAGGGACCTTGAGAATGCGCCGAACTTGTTTGATCTCTGCCAAAGCCTCGCGAAGTTTACGCGCAATCTCGTCGCAGCAGAACCGGCCAACCAAAAACGTACATTGTGTGTACTTTCTCATCTACATCTATCCCGGTCTGTCTTGCCGACCTACTTTTAGTGAAAACGAGCCATATATGCGCGCTTTGGTCTACCAGTATACATCATACACGGCTATGCAAGACGTCAACTGTACGAGATCTTTTCATGACCCTCGGACGCCTGCCAATTGACCACAGCATTTGCTGCCACAAGGATGCTGGTGCAGGCTTTGTCCAACCTTGTGACTGCCAATGATCCTTTGGCGCAGGAGCTGTGGCAGGCATACTTGAATCTACCAGAAGAGCAGCTGATCTTGTTGTGAGTGGGTTACCATTACCTCAGTGTGTCGTCCCGCGAATGATATGACAGACGACTCTTTGGCTCTCCTGATGACCGAACGATTGTCTCAACTCTCGTTTTCATCCTCAATTGTATTCATGGCAAGCCCGAGCGTATGTGCGTCGCCCTCTTTGAGACTCGTTTTCAGCATGTTAAAGGTTGGCGTTTCAGGCGGCTGCTTCTTAGTAGCCCAAGAGGGCCGCGAGTGTGCATTGGAATGCTCGACCGCTTGAATGCGTTGGTCGATGCTGATGAGTCCAGCGACTTGGGCAAGGCCTTCGAGGTCGGGTGCGTGGTTCCCCTCTCGTAAAGGTCGCCATCCCAATCGTGCTTCTACAGATACCAGGTCTTCGCAGAGCTGACATCTGAGGGTTTGCTTCCGGAACTGTACGATACCCTGGCAATGTAAGAAGCTTCTCCTTCGTATCTAATCAGACGGTAACACCTCGTTCACAGAGATGAGGAAGTGATCACCCCACATCAGACGACGCTTCTCAAAATCCTCGACTCGTACCTGCAAACCTCTCCATCAGACCAGCAGGCACACATATCGGGCACTCTTGTTCAAATGTTGATCTCCATATTCTTTACGCTGTCGACCTACGCGCAAGAAGCTATACAACGCTCACTTGGCCCTGGTAATGCGGATGATCACGAGTCTCCCATAGAGACTGTAACCACCCCTTTGTCCAATGGTCTGAATCACAGCGACGTGAGCGATACGCCCGTGGCACCGGCAGCTTTGCAAGAATTAGACCTTCTCCTTCCAAAAGTCTGCGAGGCGCTAGTGCTCGTTGCGCAGAGTCTCACGACGCTCATCCTCCGCGTGGAAGGGTCCTCGAAAGATGGTAGCTCGAATGAACCAGGGACAAGTGCGAAGCAAAGCGTCAACGCAGCGGCATCTCCTTCGGGCGAAGGACTCGTCGAAAGCCTCGTCAGTACGTGGCTCGGATGCACAACTATTAGTTCGAGGGATGATTGACAATAATGCATCACGTATCAGAAACGCTGCGATTTCTCGACATCTTCGTACCCCGCATAACCTTTGGTAAGGTCGTGGAGCGGCCTGCACCACCAGGATCGACTGCGCAGCCAGGATCGGCTCAGACGTCGAGCGCGCAGTCGCCGCCGCCAGGTTTCAATTATGTCAAGCGCGACCTCGTACGCCTTCTCGGGACCCTCGCGGCTGACAGCCGGGACGTGCAGGACCGCATGCGTGCTTGCGGAGGCATACCTGCCGTGATGAACCTCTGCGTGGTCGATGACCAGAATCCATGCACGTATTCATTTTCCTGCAACATGACTTCGCTGATCTCACTGGATCTATCATGCAGACCTCAGGGAGCACGCGATCTTTGCGCTTCGGAATCTGTTGCACGAGAACAAGGAAAACCAAGCAGTCGTGGATGCAATAAAGCCCGTCGGGCGCTGGGATGAGAGGCATGTGCTGCAAGGCTTATGATCGGTTGTTTGCTCCTAGTCGCGACAGTGCAATGTCTTCATAGTATGAACTGTATCTCTTACAATCAACTTGAACGAGTTCTGTTCCATGTTCTTGTATGAAAATGCGGTCATGCTTGACAAACAAAAGACATTAGTACGCTGATACATGGAGCTGCGACATCCTTACCTTCGTAATAGTCTGCAGCCATAAGCCTGCGCTCTAAGGTGTAAGCGAATTAAGGGCATCTTCCGAAGCGGGTACTCACAGCTCGAGCACGATCTCCGGCATGAGGCGCTCAGTAAAATCAGGGATCTCTTTCTGTGGCGCATTTTCGTAGAGGGATTTGTATGCGAGGTATTCGCAAAGTTTCTCAACCACGATGCCTCTGCGATTCTCTTAGACGTGTACGATGAAATCGCAGTGGTGATAGCGCACCTCTCATTGATTGCACATGTGTTTGACACGGCCTCGGCGAAGCTGCCTTCACCAGAATGAGCAGACAGTGACCGCACAAGATACGAAGGACTGACTTTCCGCATTCAACATGTTCCTCAAAGTTCCGCTCCCCATTGCCACCTTGCGCTGTACAAGGAAGCTAAATCCGTCTGTGCTGACGAGTTTTACCCAGTCAGACTCGCTTGGTGCATTGGCTCCCTCGGTCTAGACACCAAAGCGTCTGCTGCGTCCAAGCTGTTGAGCGATATGCCGGGAGACATACCTCCATTGTGATGGGTTGGCACTGTTCTTATGAGCACAGTTTTTCACCGATAACTGAGCGGAGGCGATTCCTGCAAAGAGGGTCCTAACTGAAGGTGGAAACGCGAGAGTGGCACATCACATCCTAATGTGTCGCCAAACGCGACGTGACATACGCACGTGCCGTGACCGAGCACGCGCCTTGACCTGCCTTGACTTGACGCCACAAGCTGGTGGCCGCACCTGATGGCGGCAGTGGCTCAAGACTTACACACAACAAGTCATAGTTATCGTACTCTATAACACGTCTTTGTAAAGCTTGTAGCTAAGGCAAGGTATGGAGCCACACCGCTGCCACCAATAGGCTGCGCCGTTGCAACAAAGCGCAAAGATATCAAGGCAACCACGCCACATCATCAATGATGGCATGCGCTATGTGCATTGTTCATGGTGCTAATTTGACTACGGTGGCTCTTGGGCCACCCATTCAGACATATATATACGGCGGCATGCTTGCACCATTCTTCACCAGCCCCTTCATCCACCCCAACGACAAATGTGCCATACATCCATACGCTTTCTCATTGTCTACGTAAATATGGTAGCTGCGGTCCAATGGCTTGGCCATATGAAGATGTGAGGTACTTGGGAAGTACACCGCGCCTTCATATTTACAAGCCTTCGAGTCGGGGCTACAAACTGGGTACGTCAGACAGTCCTCTCGCCCTTGTACGGTTCCGGATAGCCACACGAAGTCCTTTTACCTTAATACTGTCCCTGACTCACTGCGGTCATGACTTGAAACTCTGTCGTGGTTAGGAAGAATGATAACGTGGCTATCATTCATCCTCAACCCCGAAGTTCGTTTCAGGTGTTTATGGGATTCTGCCACAGCTTCAGGCGGCGCATGTGTGTGTCGTCAAAGGTATCATGGGGGACGGGGATGCCTGATAGACAAAAGCCGGGCTTAGGATGTGGTCAGGAGTGATGGCGGACCATCGCCACGAGTGACGGATCAACTCCCAGGGCGTCGTTATAACGCTTTTTTGGTTGTGAAAGTCACACGGACGTGTTGTCGGTAACAAAAGCGTGAAGGTCTTGTAGATGCATCAAAAGGGGTAACTATTGCTGCCTTGTATAAAATGCGCCGAGACGTTAGTTCCCTGCTAGGATCATCAGCACTGATGTTGCCTCGCAGAAGAACCGACCGAACAATGTGGCCCCGAGCGTTTGGAATGAACCCTTTTTATCAAAGCCATTTGGCGTCGCTGCGGTCGCTAGACGAGTTTCACCATTTTGAGACTTACCCTGTTTCCGTATCGGATGCTGCTCAGTAGTCGGTCAGCCCTCTAGTCTTGCCAGGGAATATTACCAGAGAGAGAGAGAGAGAGAGAGAGAGAGTGTGTGTGTGGGGGGG